TTCAAATTGAAACACACACGAAACGAGTGCGTAGGTATACAAAAGACAAGCGTGAACGACTATCAGAATTATTTCTGCGTCGTGTGTCAGCAGTGCACTCTTTTTGTAAAAGCGGCCGCGGCAACAAGCGAAGTGATCTTGATCCTCTCCCAAATTACGAACCTGATAAGCGCGCGTGCAGGATGCAGGAGAGATCACGCTCCATGGAGGTGGCACTTCGTCAAGGCATAGACCTTCAGAACGCGATCACGCGAGCCCTTTGCGCCAGTCTAGCCACTGATAACAAAAATGCACTAGAGGTTCAAAGATCTGAGGACCATTAAAGAATGTGTGGTGTATATATATGTCTTGCCCTTAGCAATCCAGACAACGTATGCTTCGTGGCATAGTGGTTATCGCTGCGAATCGAGAGGATGCAGGTTTGATTCCGGGCGACAGACGCTTGCTTTATCATATGTTTTATTTCTTTGAAGTCTCTTAGTGTGTATTTTACGTCATATCCGTCATATCCATGAGAGATATGTGTCAGCGGGGACGGCGTAGACCCTGGTATAAACCATTTTCCTATTAAAAAAAAACAACTATTGGTCGCGCATGAATGCCAGTGTCTCCTACTAAGTCAAGACATGTCACGACTGTCAGAACCACGCCAAGCACCACTGAAAAGGCCTGCAGAATTTCTGGGGGCATTATAGCCACTTTATACATATTGTTTCAGCAGATCGAGCAGGAGACCAAGTCTAACGATGACATCACTGAATAAATGGATTATCATATGGCCATGTAGCCAGAAAGGTGGTTTGAAAGCGAGGAGATCTAACCCAACCGCCACCCGCAATATTCACTTTTTCTAAATATTGATGGAACCCTCTGCTTCCCCCCTCCAAATATTTTGGCTACATCCCTGATGGCTATCGACTGCCTAACCTGCTAAGCTGAAACAAAACCCTAGTCAAAGCTAGTGCAGCCCATTGCAAAATTCCTCGCAAAAGAATGTTGCTGCGACACAGTGCCTCAGAAAATCTTATACTTCATGGGGAAAACTTAGCCAAGTTGTTCAACAACAGAAACGCACAAATTGCCGCAAGACCTACCACAGGCGCATGAGTGGTCTTACCGACTCTCAATGAGACCCTTGTCGAAGTATTTGTAGACGTCGAACACAAAGCGTAATGCCTTGGTAAACTTCCATCATATCGCATCACAGTGCAAGATTGAATTGAATTTACTGTGCAACAAGATTGCAAAGAAACCAGGCAAAAAAGCTGGCTGCACTGAGCAGGTTGAGGGGAACCTGGCCATCTTACACACTGAGTGGTTACAGCAGTTCAAAACATACTTTATACCTAATGCATGAACAGAACAGTAAAAACACTGAACAAACACGGTAAAAAATAATGAACAAAGGTATTGTAAAGATTTGAAAAACCAAAAGAAAAATACCCGTAGTGATGCAGACAGCAAAATAAAAAGAATAATAGATGAACTTATGGCAGCGCAAGCAATCATACAAATATGTCACGTAGGCTTTTTAGCGACAAAGTGGATACATTGAGACCATTTTCTTTGTATGTATAATCGATTTCAAATAGTCAGTAAACAAAACTGTAGCATTTGGTCACCGTATATAGTTCTGTTTTTGTTAACAATCCAAGGTTTTATATGACGGAATTTATAAAAGCAGTAATGTTACTGTAATGATGCCAGTTGTATTAAAGAGCCATCATTCTTACTTCTGGCCAGTCTATACATGCGATTGATTGATTGATATGTGGGGTTTAACATCCCAAAACCACTATATGATTATGAGAGACGCCGTAGTGGAGGGCTCCGGAAATTTAGACCACCTGGGGTTCTTTAACGTGCACCCAAATCTGAGCACACGGGCCTACAACATTTCCGCCTTCATTGGAAATGCAGCCGCCGCAGCCGGGACACGAACCCGCGCTCTGCGGGTCAGCAGCCGAGTACCTTAGCCACTTGACCACCGCGGCGGGGCGTCTATACATGCGACAAAGCCTATATGTGTACAAAGATTCAATTTTTATGGTACTAAGCTTTGTCAACAAAAGAGCAGTATACCAAAGATATGGCAACCTGGAAACTAGTTTATGGCTCTTTTTTGTAGTACCACGAGTCATTGAATATTTTTAGCTGTAGTGGTCCCCCAGACTAGAATTCCGTATTGAACCAAAGAAAGAAACATTGAATTATATAAAGTTTTGTTAATAGATATAGGAAGATAACTGCAATGGCGACATATAGTACCTATTATTCTAGGCCATTTACTAAGTGATTCACTTGGCAATCCTATGCCATAGTTTCAGAGAAATATACGCCAAGTGATTTCAAAGATGGCAATATTTTCATTTCGGTACTGTTTAATTTATTCGGCTTACCTGAAATTGTTTATTGCATGGATGAAACAATATTGCATTTGCTTTTTCTACATTATTTTAAGGCAATTGCTCGTCGCCCACTTGTGTATACTTACAGCATCGTATTGGCTTAATTTGATGTTTCAGAACCTAACTCACCCTCAAAAAACATGCTTGTATCGTCTGCATAAATTATGCACTTTGCCGATGAGTCAACATTTACTATGTCATTGATGTACAATATAAATAGGTACGGAACCAATATGCCCCCAATATTCGAAAACCGAATTTCGCAGGACTTATGATAATAATGTGGTCAGTGAACGAACAAAACCTCTCCAATATCACTTTCTCTAAACCTTTCGAAAAAAACAGGCAGCACTGATACAGGGTGGTAATTTGAACGATCATTCTTGTCGCCTTTTTGGAATATTACTGTGACCTTTGTAGTCTGCATGCTTTGAGAGAAAACGCCTGTTGTCAAACAAAGATTAAAAGTGCACTCTAGGCAACATACAATTATGTCTATGACAAATTTCACTGGCGCTGTTTGAATACCGAATGCATCAGCTGCTCTGCTGTTACTTAATGATGCATCAGCTGCTCTGCTGATACTTGGATGGTAACCCCCCTCAGAAATAATGACTGAGAATTAGGTGGGCTCAAGTACGAGAGGTTGATACCATCATATGCCTGAACGAGGGACAAAAAGAAGTCATTAAATGCATTAGCAAGATCAACCCCTTTTAGTTTAATTCCTTCTTTTAGCACTGTCATAGTTCTATGAAGCGCAGTCCCAGTTATCAAAGCGAGTGTCCTCCAAATTTTATCAGGGCCTTCTGCAGTTGAGTTAAACAGATTAAAATGATAGTGCTTCTTAGCATCCCTTGGCTGTTTTAGGGCCTAGTTCTTATATTCTTTAAATGTTTTTAATGCTTCTGGTGATTTAGTTTACATAAATAGGCTGTACAACCTGTCCCTTTTCTTTATAAGCTTAAGCAAACACTTATCTATTCACGGTTCATAACATCTTTTTGTCTGTTTTAAAGTCGTCATGAAAAACATGCACAGTATATTTCCTGAATAAACTCTTCATGATACGCATCTGCACTCTTTTCTTTATACACGTCATCCTATGTGGCCCTGGCAACACGTTCTTGGAATGCAGATAATGTGTTAGCACTTATCAGCCGAGAAGAGAGCGCTTGATGTGCCTGTTTATGCTTTTCAACTGCGGTAGAAGTGAATATAAACAAGGGTATGTGATCACTAAATGCATAAACCAAAACACCAGGCTTTATAGAAGACACATCAAAATTAGTTATGAACAAGTCTAATGCAGTTTCACATGTTGCCATAATTCGCATAAGCGATTTTCTGACAGAGATGAATGTTTAGGAGAGATTATAGCTCTAATTTCAGCTTATTCTGGGTAAGCGTATCTATATTCAGGTCACCTCCAAGAGCTGTTTGATAACCGTTACTATGAACAAATTCTAGCAATGAATCTATATATAATAACAACAGCGGATAATTTTCCGATGGATACCGGTAGCAAACACAAAATATAATATTGTTATATTTAACTACGACAGTTTCATAGAGCTGATTAGTACAACAAAATTCCAAAAAAAGCTCAGAGTTGAAACGATTCGCAATCGGCATTCCGTCTATCCCAACGGTTCATGTAAAAAGGTTTGTAACCGGGAAAGCTATACACATCATCTTCTAAAGCAAGCCATGTTTCTGAAAACATGACAATACCAAATCGACATTCCATTCCACCAAAAAAGCAGTCAAGTTCATCTCTCTTGTTTCTACCAGATCTTAGGTTAAAATGTATAGAACTCTAGCAAATCGAACCGTGATTTTGCGTGACAGTATTCAAGTTCAAAAAATTCACTCGACCCATGAAAAACAACTCAAATAAGAAGAAATTTTAGCTACTGAATTTCAAATGCTGGCAGATAGAACGACGATCATTCATACATGCAGGCAACGCAACGATGCTTGACGTGATTCTTTTGAACGTAGAACTGTAACTGCAATGTACTGGCACTTGTAGAACTGTCGATAAAATTTTCAACTGGATCACCAATGCTACAGGACATGGGTCTCGAGCTCAGTTTAGCTAAGGGGCCGCAGTCACAAAAATTTACTCTTGTGAGTGCCACGGCAGTGACGAAGATACAGAGGAAGAAATATTTTGTACAAAGTGTCAGATAAAGTTGCCATTTCGAACATATGTCTTATATCTCAAAGGTGGGTGATTTCTGATGGAGATTAGGCGCCAGGATTCCGGCAACATAAGTACGTTCACAAGGACTAAAGTCTGGACGACAATCCTGAAATATAAAATTTTGTTTCTCGGTTTTGTCTCAACATGTGTTCACTGCAGGGAATCCCTTACAAAAAAAAAAAAAAAATGTGCTACACAGATAATGTCTGTGTAGCTCATAAACATACGAAATCTCTCTCAATACGACAAAGACAATAAGGCGTGAGCCGAAGGCTGCTTGCAAGAGGTCCGTAAGCCAAGCGTTAATGACCCCTAGTCTAGGAGAATGAACATAAAACATTGCAGGCTTCTTTCCAATAAAATCATAAGGTGGTAAAACTTACATGGCGACCCCGTAGAATTCATGAAGGGCAGTGGAAACAACAACATCCGCATTGCGCAGCAGAGCCAGGTACTCATCTCGGTCCGGCAGGGGACCCCAACAACGGATGTGGCCTCCCAGTTCCTCTCGAACTCCAAGCAGAGATGCTGCACAATGCATTACAACAGTCCAAAATAGTGCCTTACTATGTAAAACGATACATGATGTTAGGATGCTAGTGAAAGATAAGCCTAATACGAAGGCACACAGAAAGATATCACCGATAAGATTCTGCATAACATGCTTATCAGGATGGAGTTTTTTTATAACCCCAAAATATTCTGTACCAGTCAAGCGACAATTGATGCACGTTTCCGTCATAGAACTGATGTACACGAAATGGCAAAGGGTACCTGAGGAATTAAAAAATATCAGTGAGTTACTCAGCCGACAAGTGAAACCTCCGACATCATTCAAGCACACAAGGCGGATGTGCTGTCCTCTATGCCAGAGATGCAAAGCATTTTTTGGAGCCTAACATCTCGTATAAACTTCCCGCTTTTACAGCAGTCCATTACCACCTAGAAGCATTGTAAAAATGTTGACCTTGTTACACGTGTCTTGACGTTTAGTTTTCTTGGCATTCTTGTTTGTTATTTCTCCTCAATTTACCGTGAGTCCCGATGCGTTGTGCCAGGTTAGATGGGTCAATCGATCAATATTCAAATGGGTGCTGTCTCTGTGTCTGTTATTCCTTACAATGACGCAGTCTGACAACTTAACCTTGTGACTGAAGCCACCTGTACATGTCCTTGGGGGTCGTTGGCAGCATGGGTCTCTTCATCCAAAAACGCTGTCCACGCTTCCTCAATTATGGACTTCGCGACCCGACCGCTACCGCACCTACTCAACAAATCATTCCCGAACGAAGTCAGTGCCTCTTTGGTGGTTACAGGGCACCACCTGACATGAACGTTCCTACCAACTGCGTAGGAAAAGGCGTATGGGCTCCAGTCATTCGGGAACCTTACGCAAGCTTTCTATGACCCGGATCCCAGCCGCAAGACTCTTTCAAAGAGGGAGCATTCAAGGGACGCCGTTCAGGTTTTCTTGGTGTATACCGGCGCTGACAAGACGACGCACAGTTTCCTGTGGCTGGGCACCACTGCTGACGCTTCTCATGCCAACAACCTCTCATCCCGGACTCCATCGACACCTGAGCTAATGAGGGCCGGGTGCCGCTCAAGCTGCCTCAAATCAATTACCACCTACTCCTTTGCCGACATTGACGCCGCTTGTTGATCATAAAATAGGGCCGCAGACCTGCGGCGTACCATCACACAACTCGTTGCCATGGTCATTGCCTTGACAGAGTTAAACTCTGCGCTGCTTTCTGTGATCATGCCGGCATTCAGCGCCATAAACGCCATGTTGGGGGTTGCTGCTGCACACTTCGAGCCAGCATCGCTCGAGCGATGCAGAGAGTTGCTCATGCAGCTCTCACACCAGCTGGGCTTTAGTGGCTTCCAGAACAACGCCGGCAACTGGACGGCAATTGTGAACGGTATCTGAGCTCGCGAGTGCTGCACGGACCAGGAGAAGAGGTGTGTTGCCATGAACTGCAGCCTTCCAAATGGTGCCACAGGTACGAAGGCATGAGGCAGCAGCTTGGTGAAGTAAAGCAATAAGCTCATAGCTGCTTTTAGACCAACTGACTAACTACCTCGCTATTACCACCCAATCTACTCTGACCACAACCGAGGATAGAGCTCAAGAGGGGCACCACATCGAGATTGCAACTGTGTCACGTTCGTTTTAGATAAGTTGAGAGCATTTGGACAAGGGCTCAAGTTTACCCACGAGCTTCCTGTCAATGACGAATTGCAGTTTTTAGATCTTCATTCCATGCTTGACAAAAACCATGTAGCTTGGATGTATCCCCCTCATGCTCAGAAGGCTTTTTTGCCGTATTATTCCTCTTGCCATATCATTCCACCCATTCTGAAGCAGTGAAAAGGGCCATTGCCAGTGCAAGCTCACAGTTAGCTCTTACCAGGTCTTGCCACCACGTTCTTGAGGAAAGTTTCAGGGTGCAAATATCCAGGCTCATGCCTATGATTTTTCCTTCCTTGGTGATAATGTCAGTATGTGAAGCTTTATTGAGAAAATTTCGACAGGACGCCACCAGCGATTGAGGCACGAAGGAAAAAACACAGAAAAAGCGCCCTGTTGTCATTCCCTATGTACACAGAGTGGCTCAATTATTGAAGAACGTCGCCTCTCGTCTTGAGGTCCCTGTCGTGTTCTCGGCACCACAGAGGCTTTCGCGTATTTGTGCTCGTTCGTTTGGTGCACCAAGTGCTGATTGTTTAAAGAAGCTCGAAAAAAAGTTCTTGAATTTTGCAATGCTTATACAGATTCCAGACAATAGACGCAGAGTCAAGTACAGGATGAACTAGCGATTTATATTTATTTATTTATTTATTGAAAATACCTTACAGGCCAGAAGGCATTGAGTAAGGGGGGTTACAGTGAAAAATCGCATGTAAATTTCAAAATAAAAACGGTACAATGTCGGTTAGTAATAACAAAAAAAAATTAACAAAGCAATAAGTCAGCAATACGTAAACATGGCGATGAAGTATATAAGAACACTCCGTAACATAAAAACCCTCGGAAAAGAAGTAAAAGAACGTCAAGATGAAATATTAAGGAAATGCGTCTGAACTTTTTGCCGAAACGTGTTGGGGTTGCTATCAGAGGCGATATCGTCGGGAAGATCATTCCACATGCGGATGGCTTGTGGTAGTGCGGATGTGTTGAACGCGTTCGTGTTTCCAAAAATGCGAGTGAAGCTGAGATGGTTATGTAATCTGCGTGACGTGTAGAGCGGGCGTTGAAGGTGCAACGACGATGTTTTGTTACTGTAGACGTACTTATGAAATAGGCATAACAAGGACACGTGACGACGAACATTTAATGCTTGGAGGGAATGATGGAGTTTAAGCTGAGTCACACTGGAATTGATGTCATAGTTTCTAGAAATGTAACGGGTGGCTCTGTTCTGGATTGTTTCCAGCATGTTAATTTGATACTGAGCGGAAGGGGACCAAACAGATGAGGCATATTCAAGTTGCGGGCGGACGAAAGTTAGGTAAGACATTTTGCGAATGTTAGTGGGACAACGACGAAGGTTTCGGCGTAAATACCCCAATGTTTTGGAGGCTTTTGCACAAACGTTAGTGATGTGATCAAACCAGGAAAGCCCTGGTGTAAGGTGGATGCCAAGATACTTGTAAGAAGTCGCCGTGGAGAGCCTGTCACATTGCATATGGTAAGTGAAGTTAGATATGACCTGTTTACGTCCAAAAGAAACAACTTTACACTTATTAGTATTCAACCTCATAAGCCAAGTGCTGCACCAGTTAGAAATAGTGTTCAGATCATCTTGAAGGATGGAGTGATCGTTAAGACAGTTTATAGGTCTGTAGAGCATGCAGTCATCAGCGAAGATTCTGATATGCGATGATATGTTAGTTGGGAGGTCGTTGATGTAGATAAGAAAAAGTAATGGGCCAAGAACGCTCCCCTGTGGGACGCCAGAAGAGACATACGAAGAGGGAGAGGAAGAATTATTAACGATTGTGAACTGCTTGCGAAGTGACAGAAAATTGCGTAGCCAAGATAAAGTGAGGGAGTCTAATCGGAGGGCAGATAATTTTGAAATAAGGCGACAATGGGCGACACGATCGAATGCTTTGGCGAAATCAAGAAATATGCAATCAGTCTGTAGGCCATTATTTATGTTGTAATGAATGTCTGTAGTGAATTCTAGTAACTGTGTTTCGCATGACATGCCCTTTCTGAATCCGTGCTGGTTTGAAAAGAAGAATTTGTTAGTCTCGAGGTGACTGTATACGTGGGAGGCGATTATGTGTTCGAGGAGTTTGCAACATATGCATGTGAGCGAGATTGGGCGATAATTTTTAGGTGAGTTCTTATCTCCGGATTTAAAAATGGGTACTACTTTGGCTATTTTCCAGTCGTCTGGAAGTTTTCCAGACGATAGCGACTGTCGAAAAATGTGGTATAATGTAATGCTAGATATGGAAACAGTATTTTTAATTACCTTAGAGTTGATATCATCTATACCAGCTGATGAGGATGCCTTAATCTGTTTAATTCGACACGCGATACCCTCCACCGTAATTTCAATAGGCTGCATGTATTGGAAGTTGTAATCAGGGATATGTGGTACGTCAGAAGAATCTTCTTGGCTAAATACAGATGAAAAAAAGGTATTAAAAGTAGTGGAGCACTCGTAGTCTGAAAGCGGAATGTTGTTTTCATTAAGTAATGACAACTGGTTGGAACCGTGGTTAGGGGATATGAGGCGCCAGAATTTTTTTGGATTATTTTGCAGAAGAGAAGGTAGGTCGTTGTGAAAATATTTTTCTTTGGCGTTGCATATTGCTTTACAGTAGTCAGTCAAGTACTGCTTGTATTTTTCCCAAGCGGAGGGCGTAGCACTGCGTTTGGCATTGCAGTACAGGCGTTTTTTCTTGTTTCTTTACTTACGGAGGGATTTAGTGAACCAGGGATTAGATAGATCATTAGAAACAGTGATAACAGGGATATATTGGTTTATCAATGAAGACATCTTGTCTCTAAAAAGCACCCAGTTTTCATTTACAGACCTGTTGTAGAATGACGGAAAGAGGACATTGCTAAAAAATTCTTCGAGCTGTGCACTTATTTTGTCAAACTCTGCTTTGCTGTAGTCCCGAATTTTCTTTTTGGATATTCCTGCAAATGGTACAGGTAAGTCCAACGTTACCTCGATTAAATTGTGATCACTGAAGCCCCTTAGGCAAGAGACTGTCCTCACTGAATCAGGAGCATTAGTTAGTAATAGGTCTAACGTATTTAAACCACGGGTTGGTTGATCAATGACTTGCGAGAGGTTAAAGTCCAAGACTAAGTTAATGAATTCTGTGGAAAGGCAGCATGGTGATGAGAAGTTTGTCCAATCAATCAGCGGGAGGTTGAAGTCACCGAATAGGTAAACTACACCAGTAGGGCAAAGATCTTTGGCATTTTTGATGCTATGACGAAGATCACGTACAAATGTGTTATTATAATCAGGCGGACGGTAACAATTGCCAAC